TGCAGGCATCAGGCCAGTGCTGGGAACTGGACAGGGCCACAGACTAGCAGAACAGATGACAGAGATGCTTCCGGGAGCCCAAGTTCATCGTTCCATGTGGCTCTTGCACAGCCCTCCAGCCCCTGTCCAGTGCAGACCTGCCACGGAGCCCCCTGCAGACTCCACTGCTCTGAGACAGGGACCTGACACCCTTCTGCAGATACTCTTCCAGTCCCTGCACCCCCCTCCAAAGGGCTATTTTCTCTTTCATTCCCTGGCCTGGGGGGGTTGGGCTCACGCATCTACCTGCTTCTCACTTTGCTTCCTCTCAAGTTCACTACCCCCTTTGTTACCTGCCTAACCTCTTCCCATGGCAGCTGCCTCCCAGCTCCTGAGACTATCGGCTCCTGATTCCCTGTCTCTCCCGTTCAACTCTCCCATCCTTCATTGCCGGGCCTCATTTCTCCCGGACCGCCTCCCCTCCGTCTTCAAACTGAGTTAAACATTTTTAAACACTTTAAATTGCATGTATAAGTTTAGTGCATTCAGGCTTTTTAAGTATTTCTAGTATCAAACCAGGAAAGCTCACGGTTGTATTAGTTCTCTGTTGTTGCTATAAGAATTTACCACAACCTTAATAGCTTAAAATACCACAAATTTATTGTACTTCCACAGGTCACCAGTCTGGCACAGGTCTCACCAGAGTAAACTCAAGGTGTTAGCAAGGCTAGGTTCCTTTCAGGAGGTTCTAGGGGAGCCTAGAGCCTTTCCCTAGGTTTCCATTTTCTGTTCTTCCAGGCTGTTGGCCTGCCGGTGTCAGGCATTGTGCAAGCTCTGGGCACTGGGCAAGGAATTCACCTCCTTGCAATGGTAGGGCCCGTGCCCCCATTTTCTTGACTGCTGTAAACGGAAGGTCATTCTCAGCTTCTACAGGCACCGCATTCCTTGGCTCATGTACCCATCTCCCATCTTCAAAGCCTGCAACAACTAGCTGAGTCTTTCTCATGAACCGTCTGTCTGTTTTTTTGCACCAGGAAAGCCTCATGTAGTTAGGTTGGGTCCACCTGGATAATCCAGAATAATCTCCATACCGCAAGGTTCCTTAATCATACCTACAAAATCCCTTTTGCCATATAAAGTAACATTCACAGGTTCTGGGGTTACAGCATTGACATCTTGGAGGGAAGATGTCATTTTTCCACCTACCACATCACCCTAACTAAAACCAAATGAAAACAAAATTACCAAGGTATTCAAATAAATTAAATGTATAAGCATAGTGAGTCTCAAGTTGTCTTTAAACACCCCAGTACTCTACAAAGTTATTCAAATTCTCACATCTCCCAACTTAATTAACAACTCTAAAATAACTTATATGTCCAGTTGGAAATCCTAATGCTATCATCTTAAAATAATTTGAGCGCCAAATGCGTAACAGATTGTACCCATGATTAAACTGAACTCAAAAGTATCAATACTATCATGGCTTCATTTAATCATGCTTATGTTGAGGTTTTCATTTTAACTTTTATCTTTTCAAAGCTATATATATATATCGTTTTAAAAGTGGAATGTGTTTTTTTCTAACCAACAATAAACAATCAATGCAGTCTCCAGTTCTGATCCTTTCCAAATTTAACTCTTAGTCATTTCTTCAGGCATGTAAAACCCATCTTTCACAAAACCACACATGCTTTTACTGTTTTTTATTGGATTTGCTACATTAAGGTCTTCCCTGGCTGGTGTCCTTGGAGAAGAGCAGGGTCACTGGCCTCAATGTCCTGACCCAGCATCATCTCAGTGTGGTGGGTATTATTACAGCTTCATTACTGCAGGTCTCAGCAGAGGACAGGTGTTCTAAGGTTGTATTTGCTTTCTTGCACAACTTTTTGTTTTGCCTGGAGTTAATAATTGCCTTTTTTTTGTTTGCTTAGTTTTCTATACATGTCTCATTAATTCATTCTTAGTTTCTCCTACTGAAGTGTGAACCTCTCAATACTTGAGATTTATTCCACAATTGACTGCTCAGTTTCATCTTTTCCCAGAGCCCCCACTGTGCCAGCTCTCTGCTCCAGGCTGCTTGTTCTTGGGCCTGTAGCCCAGCTGTCAGCATGAGTTGTTCCTTCACCAGCATCCTGGAGCACCTCCTTTCTCATTTGACTGGATCCTTAGCTTTCATCTTCCTTCACTCACCCTCTGTTTGAGGAGGAACATCCTCCAAGTTTCCTGAGAGAGGATGGGTGGGAAGTTATGGAGTCTTTGCCTATTTGCCCCTAGTCTACTCTCATATCTGCTTGTTAGTGTAGCTAGGCACAAGTTTGCCTAAGTTGAAAATTATTTCTTCCAACGGTTTTGAGGGTATCACAAATTCTAGATTTCTAGAATTTCTAGTCCCAAGAATTCTTATGCATTTCTGAATTCTGACTCTTTAGGACTTCTCTCCCTCTTACTTCCTCTTGTTTTCTCTCCCTCCCTCCCTTTGGAAATTCTTAATATTTCTTCATTTAAAACTTCTCTTTCGGGGCTCCTGGGTGGCCCAGTTGATTTAAGCATCTGACTTCGGCCCAGGTCATGTTCCTGCGCTTCGTGGGTTCGAGCCCCGTGTCAGATTCTGTGCTGACAGCTCAGAGCCTGGAGCCTGCTTCAGCTTCTGTGTCTCCCTCTCTCTACCCCTACCCTGCTTGCGCTCTGTCTCCCAAAAATAAATATTAAAAAAAAAATCTTCTCTTTCATCTATTTTCCAGAGATCCCAATCCTCCAGTTCTAGGAAATTTTTTTTGGTTGATTTTTTTCCCCTTCTCATTTTGAAGAACTTTCATGATTTATATGTTGAACTTTGAACTACAATATATGGTAGTTAAGGGCATAGGCTCTGGGACCATTCTGCTGCTTCCTGCAGTATGATATTGTGCCCCTACTTTCTTGTCTGTAAAAATGGGAGAACAATACCCACTCCATGGGAATCATTGTAAAGATCACACAAGGTAATGTTTGTAAAGTAATGAGAACAGTGCCCAGCACACAAGCACTCTGCCTTATTATACATCAATTTCAAATGTCCCAGGGGAAGCTGCCACCAGAGAGTGGTGCTTGTGCCCCCCACCCTCCTGCAGTGGTGGTGGCAAGTCCCAGCCCATTCACCACTTCACCCATCCCTCTCTGTTATGGAGGCCACCGAAGTGGCAGGCCATTTCTGAGCACTGGAGAATACTGATCAGTGTGATTATGATTACATTTTCTCTTCTCTACCTATCTGGTTTTATTCTAGAAGATTTCAACTGTATCTTTCAATCCTCTATTGAATTGTTCATTTTCCTCTCCTATTTTTCATTTGTAAGCACTCTTTCTCATTTCCTGAATATTCTCTTTGTAGCCTTCTGTTCTTGATTTTTTTAAGTTTTTATTTTACTTCCAGTTAGTTAACATGCAGTGTTATATTAGTTTCAGGTGTGCAATATATTGATGGTTCTTGATTTTGGGAATCTTGCATGATACCACTACACCAGCGGCGCTGTGTGATTGTTGATTTTGGATGCAACATCCTCTGTGGTATCTCTGAGGATATGGTTTTAGCTTTTCTTCTTTTTCTTCTTGCTTTGTCTCTGCTCCTTCTGAGATCCTTTTCCATTTCCATTTTTGTTTCTTCTTCCTTCAAAGGTGTCTGGTGATCCTGGGCTGTCCAGTTGCTCTTAAGAGTGATATGATCTTAATGGTGGGGCTTATTGCCTGGTGAGCTTTGAGGCCAGGGATGTAGCCAGGCCATTCTCCTGAGCGCCCTCCAGCTGCCAGTCTCCTTTGCAGACAGGAGCTGCTACAGAGAGGAGCTTGAGTTTTGTGGTTGGCACATTCTAGGGGCTAGACTCAGAGCTGGGGTGGAGGTGGGGAAAGGCAAGAACCTCACTTACTCCCTTTCAGAACAGGATTCTGCTCGGACAGCCCAGCCACTGCCAGTAGGGATAGAGGTCTGGGGTCTCCTCCTTTTCTGCACATTTTTACATGACCCCTCCAACACTAACCTCCAGTTGGCTAAACAGATCCCACTGTTCACCTTCCTCCAGTCCCACAATATTTCACTTCTGTGTTCCCAGGTTTTTGCCTTTATAAAATCCTCCTATTATTTTAGAGGGGAGGGATAAGAAGAACATATTAACTAGACGTTAAACCCTCTCAGGATTGAGAAGAGACCTGCCTAACTGGGAAAGACATTTTGTTGCCTCAGGCAGGCTGAAGTTGTTGGACCGACCGTTTCACTGAGCTTACAGACGCGGCTTCACTGAGTTAGGGCCTTGGGGCTGGGCGTGACAAACGGCAGACGTCTCGGGCAGCTCAAGGCCACGATGGGGACCCGGTGCAGGCCCTTCCCACTGGGTAGGTTCACAGGCCTGTTTTGGATTCCAGTTCTAAAGACTGCAAGCCACTGAATCTATGACGCCATCAGTTTTAAGATGCACCGCTGTCTTCTGAATACACTAGGAAAGAGACCGTGGCTAATTAAACGAAGGCACGTCGTCCACCGGACGCACCCTGACTTCAGACGTGGCACGACGCAAAGAAGACGCGAGCTGAAATCTGACTCTTCGTGACCTTTCAGCAAGACCGTTCGGGCAAACGGGGCTTCTTCGACCCTGGAAGGGATCCGAACCTCCCGTGTCCGGCCTCTCGGGTGAGAGCGGGGAGGCAGGGGACACACACACCACCTGTCTTTCTGTTAAGGGGGCAGAAAAGTGGAGCAGCGGCTGGAGGAGGGCAGGGGGCGAGGCGAGGGGTAAGAGGCAAACTGCGGCCGGGCGGCCCTCCGCCGGCGAAGGACGGGCGCCGCCAAACCCAAGACCCGTGAGGCGCCGGGGCAACAGACGCGCGCCGCCGCCGCCGCCCACACGGCCCCGGCCCCGCCCCCCCGCTCCCCTCCGGGCCCTTAACGGTTCCTCCCCACACCGGAAGTTCATCCCTCTCTCTTCCCTCGTCGAGGGCGAAGGCGCCTTTTGTCGCGAGACTTCCCTCCTTCTCCGGGCGCTTCCGCCGGCACCCAGATCGCGCGAGACCGCGGAGGGAGCAGGAGCGTGTGGCGCGCGCGCGGCGGCCGCGACGGACGCAAGATGGCGACGGCGACCATAGCTCTCGTAAGTGAGCCGCCTGTGGGCGCAGGCCGCCGCTCGATTGGCGGGAGTAGGTCGTCGGCCGCGCCAGAGCGCCGAAGGCCTCTCGGGGACGCAGCGGTCGCTCCTGGGCCCCCGCGGCTCTCGGTCGCGCGAGGCGGGGGCGGGCGCGAGGCGGGGCCGGGCCCGCGGCCGCAGCTTCCGGCTCGCAGGCTACAGCTTCCGGCGGCCGGAGGCTGGGGGCTGTGCGGCGCGCCCGGCGCGGCCCTGTCGGGGTGCGGCGGGCCGGGCCTGGGCCAGCGGCCTACCGCGCCGCAGCCTCCGGGCGGAGCCGGGCGGCCGTGGTACCTTTCCGCCGACGGGTGCGCCTGTGGCCGGGGCTTGACGGCGCGGCTCCTGGGAACGATGGCGTCTCTTCTCCTGTCCTTGGGAAGGGGTCGCCAAGCGTTCAGGGCCTGTAGGAAGGAATCTTGGCCGGGGGGGTGGGGGGGTGGAAGGGTGGTGGCCTTGACTCCTTGCGTCCGCAGCTGCGACTCTGCTCTCCGCTGATGCTCTGCGGGGCGTGGTTACTAGCTAACAGGGACTCCATCCTGTCTTCCTTATTCAGGAAGGAGGGAATGTGCTCTCTCATCACGTTTCTTGAGTAGTTACTTTGCCCCAGGCGCTGCCCGAGCCCTTGGGGGCGCAGTGGGGAGCTAGAGGTAGTCCCAGCCCTGTTCAGGGAGTCTGGTGGACCCTGAGGACCAGCTCCCACCCACGGGGGGCCGTGTATACTGCCAGCCCGAGGGACCTGTGCTCAGGGTGGTGTGGGCGCCCGGAGTAGGGAGCCTCTCCCTCCCCTGCTCAGTGCTCACCTACCTTTCAGTTACCTGGAGCGATTGGCATAGACGGAGAATCCTCATATGCACCAGACTTCACGGTGAAGTCTTCCCTTGACCTTTTTTTCTTCCTGCTCGGTTTAAATGACTGACTGTTCTCCTGGACCCTTCAGGGCATTATTTCATTTCCTATTTACCTGCCACCCTGCCCCTAACCCACTCCCACAGTGACGTGGTGAGGTCTGTCCGAGAAGGCACCTCTTGCAGGTGCTTGGAGGCCAGACTGATGGGGAAGAAGTCTGAGGGTCAGGGAATGTACTTAGGTTAGAACAAGATCTTGGCCAGGCCGTCTGCTGGGGGCCGACACCCCGTGAGCAAGGCTGGACCTATGTCACTGGGGCAGGAACAGGTTCCCAAGGGGAGAGAGACCCCAGCTTGTGAGGAGACCCCAGCGTGTGATTCTCCGATCTTGCTAATTCTTCTGTCCACTTTCTACCGTGTCCTGCTTCCTGTTGAAGCCGCAGGAGCAAATGACCTGCCTGAGAGCGAAGTTAGATGCTAAGAGAGGACTTGGTGACTGTCCTGGATAGTGGTTAGAATTGGACAGTGAAGGAGAGGGAGGCTTGGAGACAAGGACCCAGAGTCCCAGGAAAGTGTGGAATGTGGGGGAGGAGGAGAAGCCAGTGAAGAGTGGGTGCTTAGTCTTCCCCAAGCCTGGACACTGAGCCCTGGCCTTGGTGGGGGCTGGAGCTGGTGACACCCCGCACTCACGGAGACATGGAGACTGATGAGTTGGGCTCAGCTCTGCTGTGGCACAGTGGCAGACGGAGGTGACCTCACAGTAGAGGTGGCCACGGGCTATAAGGCTGAGTCCTGTAAACTGAGGTTTCCAATAGGGGTGCTTGTTGCTTATTTGAACTCTCTCAAGAGGATAACACATCCATACATTAATGAGTGTACAGAAACTGTGAAGTCTCAGGCTTCCATCAGATTCTGGGAGCGAGGTCCAGCTTGGGGTCTGATGTGTTCCTCTTCTAACCTTTTTAGTGGACGTCTCTCTACACAGCTTGTTTTCCAACTGTCATAGGTGGGCATAGTGAGAGCCTGTTCCGTCCCGTGGTCTGTGCATGCTGAGCAACACTGCTGCTGTCCTGAGATGGGGCTTCAGCTCTGTGGGACGTGGGACAGAGGGGCACTGAATTTGGCCGACAGTGACCAGTGGGGAAGGACACAGGAAGATGCAGAAGTGCCGCTTGTCACTTCTGTGCCTTCCACCTGTTGACTGCAGAAACAGGCCACAGCCCCTTCCTATCAGGGATGTAGTCTTCTGGTGGCCCTGTGTGTCTGTGACTTACGCTTCATTCTTCCTGGCTTTGACCACTGGGCTCACTCCTACTTGGGGCCATTACTCTTGGTTTCCATCCATATGGCGGGGCGCCAGGCCCTCTCCTTTCCCTGTGGGCACTGGTGCTAACTTCTCCTGAAGGTGCTGGTCTGCGCTTGCCTCACAGGCCTTCCCTGGCTGCCTCACTGAGTGTGCTTCAGCCCCATCCTGTGCATCCTGCGCTTGCTGGATTTGTTTCTTTGTGCTCATGAACTACAGAAGTCTTCTCCTCTACCTGCCACTTGGCATGCGTCTCACCTTGTTTTTGCTGCAAAGTGCCCAGCACAGAGCCCAGCCATATGGGTAGACAGCGTGGCACCATGTGAAGAGGACTGAACAGACAGACAGCGTCCTGCAGCGGCTCTGCTCTGGGGATTTGACACTGGTGTCGTGCCGGTGCTGATGACCACTCAGACCTAGAGCTTGCTTGCCCTTTGCAGGGATAGCCTTGAACCTTTACACGGGGTGACCCACTGAACCTGCATGCCAGCCCTGGGACATAGGCCTGAAGAGCCCAGCCCCTGCCGATGTTACGTAATTACTTAGACTTTTCTAGTGTTTCTAACGAAAGTGATCCTCTGTACCCTGGCTGTTGAGCAGTGGCAGTGCTGGGGTTTGGGTCCCAGAACCACAGGGCTGCACTGCCTCCCATAGGGGACTTCTCGTGCTGCTGCCTGACGTGGGTACCCTTGTAACTGCAAAGCCTCCTGTTTTCATTGCCAGAGGGTGACACTGTGTGACCGGCTGTGATAATGAATGGTGGTTTTCTCCAAGTCTTCTTAGCATCTGCTTAGAACAGAATCCTGGGCTCTGTGAGATTAGTGACTTTGTATCCAAGAAGGTGGTGGCATGTTCTTTGTGGTCTCCCTGCTGGACTGACTCTTCCTGAGAAGTGGCTTCTGAGTGGTGTGCTGCCCTCAGCAAGGTTCTGTTTCCTACGTTGGCTGTCAACGTGAATATGGGAGAGCAGGAAGTTGTTTATAAAGGTGCCCCCAGGCTGGTTCTGTTCACAGGTCTCGGTGCTGGATTGTTTGCCCAGACCTCATCTCTTGCTAGGACCCTCGAGAGAGCAGCCTCGGCTCCAGATGTGCTCCTGGGGGCCCCCGGGTACTTGAGGCAAGCCAGACATGGACCCTGTCCCCAGCTGCCATACACTCACTCGAGGGGGAGGGGCACGTCAGAAGGGCCCCCCATCCTTCGGCTCTCTGGGGCATTGTTTCTAAGTAGCAGCGGTGCTGAGTTCAGGGTGACCCTGGGCAAGACACAGGGCTAGGTTAGCCACAGCTTCTGTGCCCACCGGCCACATGTCCACAGACGGGCTTGTGTCGCTGTCTTCTTTGGGGCTAGAGGGCCTGAGACTCACTCTGACCAAGTCAGCCCAGCCTCTGGCTTTGTGCACAGGACTCCAGGGATGGGCATGGCTGTTCCCTGTGTTCCTAGATGTCCGTGGGTCTTGTGAGCTGGGAGTGGGGTAAGTGTATTCTGCTCTCAGTTCCTGCTGTGTGGCCTGAGAAGGTGGAGTAGGTCTCTGGGCCCTTCCACCAAGTCCCTCAGCCCCCATCGTTGCTGCCTCCTGCCCGTGGCCTGTCTTTGCTGCTGCCACCCTGCTACACGGAGTTGAGAGCCGTTCTTTCTGTTGGGCTGGCGCTGCGTGGCAGTGCTTCATGGCCCCTCTGAGTGTGGCGTGTGGCCAGGCTCTCAGCTGCCCTCCCTGGAGTTAGACCTGGGCAGTTTGACTGCAGGAGGAGGGAGGCTTATGCACACAGACCGCCTACCTGACCATGTCATTCAGAGGGCAGCCGGTCTCAGAGGTGTCCGCAGGAGGGATTTGGGCTCTGGGCTTGGCCAGATCCTGTGGAAGGCACTCGAACTGATGCTGAGCCCAGACGTGTATGCAGGGTGCTAGGGAGGTGCCCCTGTCTGCCTCAGGAAGGGATGTGGGGGGATGGCCACCTGTGCCCCTTGTCATCCCTTCTGGCCTGGCCCAGCCTGCCGGCATGAAAGGAACCCATCCTTAAGACCTCAGCTGTGTGGCCAGAGGGCAGTTTTAAACCTAGGGAATGATGCCTTTCCTTGGCATGGGGCAGGAGCTCCTCTCCTTCCTGTCCTTTCCTGGTGACTCACTGCCAACTTCAGGCTGCCCTAGGCTCTGACAGGCCAGCCCATTTTGCCAGGACCCTGCTCAGCTGCAGGTGTGCTGGAGGAATGGGCACCGTGGGGTGGAGTGGGACGCTGTTGGGTGCCCCGGGGCCACACCAGAGCTGCTCTCTTCTTGTGCCTCTGTTGTCTTTCTCGTCCGTAGACACTTAGCCCTTAGCTAGGGAAGGGGAGAGAGAACCAGGGTGGGTGGGTCCTCTGACTGTCCTTTATAACATCTCTTTCCTGCCCACAGCAGGTCAATGGCCAGCAAGGAGGGGGGTCCGAGCCGGCGGCGGCGGCGGCGGCGGCAGTGGTGGCAGCGGGAGACAAATGGAAACCTCCACAGGTACTGACCTTAACCATCCTTGCCCTCAGGCCCGCCTGCCCGCCCGCCCGCCTGCCCGCCCGCCTGCCCGCCCGCCCGCCTGCGCGTCCCCGGGCCCAGAGAGGCGGGGCGGGGTGGGAGGAGCTCTAGGGACTCTTCTCTGTCTTCTGGGCACAGGTGCCTGTCTTGTCCCCTCCCCACCCGGCTTCAGGCCTGGCTCTCCCCTTAGCACCTGCCCTGCTTCTGTGGTGGGTCACAGCCTCCTGTGTCTTCAGACCTCGGGCAGATAGTGATGATGGTCAGGTGGGAGCCGACCCCGAACAAGTGCAAGTCCTTAACCATGGGTGTCATATAGGAGGGCAGATGTGGTGTTTCGGAATGTGATGGGTATTAAGAGCCAGAAACAGATTTTCACTTCAGACCTCAGATGTAGATAAAACCGCAAAGCACAACAACGTGCAACTCCGAGCACGGGGTTTGCGTGGGATTCAGGCCAGGCTTCGGAGGGGGTGTGGGCAGATCTTGTCCTGCTCTCGTTTCTTTGTCCTTGGGGGCGGGTCCTATAGGAGGTGGAGTCAGTCCTCATCTCTGGGTAATTGGGTTCTTTGTGCTTCTCCGTGGCAGTGCCCGCCTCCAGGGGGTTCCAGTCGGGGCTCAACATGGTGGCCTGGGGGCCTCCTGGAGCTGGGCCCTCCTGTGGGCCCCCGCACGCTCAGGGGAGGTTTGGCTGTGGTCTGCAGCGTGGATCCTGGGAAGTTATGGGGGCTGAAGCAGATGGGCAAAGAGGCCAGGGGTGTCCAGCTAGCCAGCCCTCCCCTGCCCTGGCTGATGAGAGAAGGGCCTTTTGTTTACCAAGACAAAGAGGAGATTGAAAAGTTTCTAAGGGGCTGAAAGGGGGGTGGCATCGATTACCATGGTGACAGCCTGCTCTAGAGCCACAGCCCCTGGCTCTCGCCTCTGTCTCGCTAAAGAGAACCTGGCGTGGGGCCAGCTGGGAGGGTGGAGAGGACAAGCCTCAGGGGCCAGACTGGGTTGCCAGAGTAGGGACCTTTAGGCCCCTTCTGCCCTTTGACCCTGTGCTGGAAACCTAGTTCTTGGGCTGGTCAGGGTGGTGATTCTTGGGGTTTGGGTCAGCTGGCTCTTTCCTACCTCGTTTGTACCTCTGTCCTTGCTCATCGTGCCTGTGCTGGGGGTCTGCCTGTCCCCTCCGCTGTCCCTCCGGAGGCTGTGCTGGGAGCTGCAGCTCTGCCGAGCCGGTGGGCAGGCAGGTGTGATCCGACTCCTGACACTTGTACTCTTTGGTCTGGGGGCTGTGGCTTTTTTCTTGCTCACATGGTTATATTTTTCACCCTGCAAGCAGCTTAGAAATCTATTTTGGCGGAAGGAATGTAAGCTTAATCCTAGCTGCACTTAACTCTGATCTGTGGCAGGCTGTGCCTGCTACCCTACCCCCAACCCCCCAAAATGTCTCCAGGTCCCCATGCTCGCCTGGCGACAGCACTGGCACACCCACTTTTCTCCTCTGGCTGGTCTGGTCCTGGCTTCTCTTCCCGGGGGACTGGAGCCCTCTTTGGGGCTGCTGTGGCCTGGGGGAGAAGCTCCGCGTTTTCAGCAGTGTGCAGGGATAGGGGATGGGGTGCTGCACGAAGGTATGCTGGGAGGGAGGCCCTTTCCCATACCTGTTCCTGGAGTGCTCCCTGGAACTCTACCCAGTCAGGGAAGCTGAGTCTGTGACCATGGCTGGGTCCGTGGGAAGGTGCAGAGGGCAGAGGTGGGTGCCAGGCAGTCCGCGAATGCGGAGGCCCAGCACGTCCAGAGAACCATGGCCCCTTCTCCTTATAAAGGGTGCCTAAGGCCAGATGTTCTGCTCTGCGTGGGACAGGTTCTGGGGTCAGGCTTGCTCCGAGGGATGGGCCCCTCTTACCACTTGCTGCCTGTCTTGGTACCTCCTGAGGAGGCCGTGGTGGCCTGGGCCCTGAAGCTGCTCTGGGTTGTCCCGAGGCCCCCAAGGTACCTGCCTTCTTCAGTGTGTGTCCTGCCCATGCGTCTTGGGAGAGACTGAACTGGGGACAGGGACAGGGATAGCGGGCGGGCAGATGCACATCTTGGCCAGGCCGGAGACGGTCCGCGTTGGAGGCCATGTGCCGTTGGAGAGGGAGACAGGTGGGGTGGGGCTCCTGGGGCCACACGAGAGAGGTCTTGAGTTTATTCGTAACGACTTCCCTGCTCCCACTGCCAGGGGACAGACTCCATCAAGATGGAGAATGGGCAGAACACCACCGCAAAGCTGGGACTGCCTCCTCTGACGCCTGAGCAGCAAGAGGCCCTCCAGAAGGTGAGAGTGTACCTCCCCGGGGGGGGGGGGGGGCAGGGGCCAGGGGGGGGGGGAAAGCGCATCGCCCCACAAGCCGGGCCCCCCAGTGCTCCTCACCGCCTTCTCCCGCAGGCCAAGAAGTACGCCATGGAGCAGAGCATCAAGAGCGTGCTGGTGAAGCAGACCATCGCGCACCAGCAGCAGCAGCTCACCAACCTGCAGGTGAGCCGCCCTGCCTGCCCTGCGCTGGAGGCCGCCCCCCGCCCGCCCGGGCCGGGGCCTCCGCCCGCCCCTCCCCGCCACCTCCTCCTCCTCCGCGTCCTCCGCCTTCTCTTCCTCCTCCTGTGCCTCTGGCCGGCCGTCCCCACGAGGTGTTGTGGTTTTGTTTCTCAAGGACTCATTCTTGGGACGCCCAGGTTTCTCCGTGAGGCATGAGTGGCCCAGCCTTATTCATCTGCTGTGTGCCCATGGCCCCTTCCCCGCCCTTCTCTGTGGCCCTGCCCCGTACCCTCAGTTGGCTCCTCCTCTTGGACTTGAAAGTGATGCCTCAGGTCGCCTCTGCGCCCTGTCGGAGGTGCAGAATGTAGGGGCGTTCGTCCCCACCCCCATGGCCTCGCATAAGAGCTGTCAGGCCCCCACCCCTGCAGTGAGTCCGGACCACCTGGGCTGGGGTCTGAGACAGAGAGGACAGGCTGGGGGCACTTCCAACAGGGCCCTGTTCCGGCCCTGTGACCGGAAGCCGCAGTGGCTGTGGGGAAGAGGCCAAGGCGAGGCTGACAGGTGCCTGGGCCTCGAGCCCCTTGCCCCCTGCCCAGCCCTCAGACATCCACACTGCCGGGAGATTCCCTGGCTCTTCACCGCGCTCCATCCACACCCTCTCCTCTTCCTTCTCCTCCTTCTCCACCCCCTCCCCCTCCTCCCCCTCCCTTCCTTCTGCCCTGCCGGCCAGGCTGCGGGGCGGGGCACCTGGGGCTCTGAGGCCCCCCCTGGGCAGGTGCCGGCGGCTGGCCAGTCGGCTGGCAGTTTGGGAAGGCAGGCGGGCCTCCCTGGCAGGGCGGGGACTCCGGGCCTTGCCGCTGTCTGCGTGAGGTGTGACAAGAGCGGGAGACTGCTCGGCTCCAACAGACTGAACTCTGTCTTTACTGTCTTTCAGATGGCAGCAGTGACAATGGGCTTTGGAGATCCTCTCTCACCTTTGCAATCGGTCAATAGAAATGCTCACTTCTTCCGGGGCTCATGTCCTTAGTCAGGGCTAGAGGGGGGCAGTGCAGCCCGCGTGCTGGGGACCTTGCTCCCCTAGCCGGCCCTGCCCGCCGGCTCGGGACGAGCGCAGCAGAGCGCCAGGCGCGGCGGGGCCAGTGGTGTGGGCGGGCACCCACGCGGGACCGCCCCTGGGGAGGCCTCCATCTGCTCTGAGGTCCCGCCTTAAAACTAACCGGCCAGGTAACTGCGGAGGGCAGCAGGCCAGGAGGGCAGCTGCCCACGCCAGGCCCACCTTCACCCATGTCGCCTGCACGCACGAGGCGCAGCGCCTGGGCCTTCAGCTCTGCCAGTCTCCAGGCTGCCCGGGCTCCTGGGTTGGGGTCAGGCCCCCAAGGAGACAAGAGTCCTAACTGCCAGCCCCATCAGACCCTGGAGGGAGGATGGATGGATGGGGTGGGGGGCCGGGGGGTCCCAAGCAAGCAGGAGAGGGAAGGGCAAGAATTTGGTCCTTTGGGCCTGGCTGTCAGCAAGGGGTAGAGGCCATGCAGCCAGGGAGCAGGCAGAGGCGGTGTCTGTGGCCTTGGCTGCCGTGGGCGGAGGAGTCTGGGAAGGAGATGCTCCTGCATCCCCTGGGGGTCATCCCTGGGTGTGCTGCTCTCACAGGGGAGATGCGGCCCTGTCCACGGGCCAGACAGACCCAATGTCCTCTCTGGGAAGCGTCTGTCTGTGGGGAGACATCAGGGAGAAGGGCTCTTGGCCCACCTGTTGTTGGGAAGCCTGCCCCAGAGAGGAGAGGTGCTCTTACCGTCGGGGATTTGGGCCTGAGGGGTAGATGGTTTCACGTGTGGGGTGCCTGGTGCGAGAGGGGACGATAGTTACGCCTTTGCTGGTCCTTGGTCTCCGCGGGGGGCCTGAGGCTGACGTGTCAGGAGCCCAGTTTGAGGAGGGCAGTCCCATTTGGGGGGGAGTTCCTAGTTTGGGGGATACGTGGATCTTATTTTTAGGCTCCTCTTTGAGGGAGGGGGAGGTCTGGTCTACATAAGAGGCCATTTGGTGTCTAAAGAGGAAAACTAGCCTCCGGTTATGGGGGGGCCTTTTGAGGGTGAGGGGAGCCCAGGTTTATGGAGGGGCTAGAGCCAGGATCCCGTCTTCTGTGCCTGCCCTGGGCCTGTGATGTCTTCCCTGGGGCCCAGCTCCTCCTGGCGGCCCACTGCATATGGCTCTGGGAAGTGCCCCGCCTCACACGTCTGTGTGAGGTGGCAGGGGTGGGAGCCCCATCCCTGAGGGGCACGGAGAGGTCCCTGGGCCCACGCTCGCCCCGGCGCAGAGGCAGGGCCTGCTGGGCCTGTCCGCTCCCTGCTCCAAGGAGCCCTGGGGCTTCTTTCTGGCAGCTCTGCCACCTCCTGGCGTTCCTGGGGTCCGGGCCTTGGGGCTGCAGGGGTGAGCTCCAGCCCGCCCTTTTTTGTCAGGTGTTCAACACGCTGGGAGGCTTGCACGGTGCCAGCCCCTGCCTGAGCTGGGCCTGCTCCTTGTTCTGTCTGCAGGGAGCCCCCATCTGGGCTCCTGACCTCCTCCCCTGGGCTCTCTTCTGGGCCATAGCTGCCCTGTCTTCTGCCCCCTGTCTTGCCTCCACGCCAGTGGGTCCGTCCAGCTTGGATGGCTTCCCCTTCCCTCTTCTGCTAGAGCACTTGACCAAGGACCTGGGAGGGTCTTCCAGCCCGGCTTGGGGTACCTGGCCCCCAGACTGGAAGGTGGGCAGGGTGGGAGGGCGCACAGCCCTGCCTCCCAGCCGCCTTGTCGGCTTTGCTGCCAGTCTGCCCGGGGCCTAGATGGGCCAGGGTGCATCCGTGTCCTGCCTTGGGGCCTAGCCCTCCTTCCTGGGGGTAGGGTCCTGTTGACCCCTGCTCCCCCAACTGCAGGGTCTGAGCCTGCACCTTGTTGCCGTGTGGGGAGCCCTCCCCACAGCGGAGCTGGGTAGGTGGGCCAGGCGGGGAGTGGGCTGCCCAGCCTCTTGCCATCCCCTCACGAGCCAGTGGCTCTTTCTCCCCTTGTGTCCTGCTCCAGATGGCAGCTCAGCGGCAGCGGGCGCTGGCCATCATGTGCCGGGTCTACGTGGGTTCCATCTACTATGAGCTTGGGGAGGACACCATTCGCCAGGCTTTTGCTCCCTTTGGACCTATCAAGAGCATTGACATGTCCTGGGACTCCGTGACCATGAAGCACAAGGTGAGATTTAGTTTGCCCCACCCCCACCCCCCACCCAGGGCCCTGTTGGCCTAATGACACATTCGTGTGTCCAGGGCTTTGCCTTTGTGGAGTACGAGGTCCCAGAAGCTGCGCAGCTCGCCTTGGAGCAGATGAATTCAGTGATGCTAGGAGGCAGGAACATCAAGGTAGGGGCCAAGGAGGTGGGCCTCGGGCGAGGCTGGTACGTCGGGGGTGCTCTGTTTTCAGTCCCCCGGGAGATGCAGAGCAGCCGGGAGTGGCCAGGCCTGGGCTGACTGGAGGCTCATCCCCTGCCTCTCTCCCAGGTGGGCAGACCCAGCAACATAGGGCAGGCCCAGCCTATCATAGACCAGCTGGCTGAGGAGGCACGAGCCTTCAACCGCATCTATGTGGCTTCCGTGCACCAGGATCTTTCCGACGATGACATCAAGAGCGTATTTGAGGCCTTTGGCAAGATCAAATCTTGCACGCTGGCCCGGGACCCCACAACCGGCAAGCACAAAGGTTATGGGTTCATTGGTGAGTTTGGGGAGACTGAGGTGAGGGCGGGGCCCACCTGGCACTGTGGCTAACCCTCACTGCTGCTCCTGCCCTGCAGAGTATGAGAAGGCCCAGTCATCCCAGGATGCCGTGTCTTCCATGAACCTCTTTGATCTGGGTGGCCAGTACTTGCGGGTGGGCAAGGCTGTCACACCCCCCATGCCCCTGCTTACACCTGCCACACCCGGAGGCCTCCCGCCTGCTGCTGCTGTGGCCGCAGCTGCAGCCACAGCCAAGATTACAGCGCAGGTGAGGTGTGGTGCAGTTGCGTGGTTCGTTTGTGGGTGACGGCTCCTCTCTCCCTCATCCTTTGGGGATTGGCTCTTTGGGTGGTCTGGAGTGGAGGCAGTCAGATCGGGGACTGAGTGTGGTGGCTTTCTGAGTTGCAGGAAGCAGTGGCTGGAGCAGCGGTGCTGGGTACCCTGGCCACTCCTGGACTGGTGTCCCCTGCACTGACTCTGGCCCAGCCTCTGGGGGCTTTGCCCCAGGCTGTCATGGCTGCCCAGGCCCCAGGAGTCATCACAGGTGAGCCTGGGTGGGTCAGAGCTTCCCTCTTCCTCCTGCCCCTCCTCTGCATAGGCCTCTGGGGCCAGGGCAGGCCACGGCTCAGGCCTGGCTGAGTGGTGCACTGCGCCTTCCTGGGAAGGGCAGAGATGGGGGGACGTGACCGCTGGACCTGGTGGGTTTGCTGCAGGTGTGACCCCAGCCCGGCCTCCCATTCCGGTCACCATCCCCTCTGTGGGAGTGGTGAACCCCATCCTGGCCAGCCCCCCAACGCTGGGTCTCCTGGAGCCCAAGAAGGAGAAGGAGGAGGAGGAGCTCTTTCCTGAGTCGGAGCGGCCAGAGATGCTGAGCGAGCAGGAGCACATGAGCATCTCCGGCAGTAGCGCCCGCCACATGGTGATGCAGAAGCTGCTGCGAAAGCAGGAGGTGGGCATCCGGGGCTGGTTGGGGGGAGGGTGCATGGTGACCAGCCAGCCATAGCTCTCAGCTGTCCCCTCCCCCGCACAGTCCACAGTGATGGTTCTGCGTAACATGGTGGACCCCAAGGATATCGACGATGACCTGGAGGGGGAGGTGACCGAGGAGTGTGGCAAGTTTGGTGCTGTGAACCGTGTCATCATCTACCAGGAGAAGCAGGGCGAGGAGGAGGACGCAGAGATCATCGTCAAGATTTTTGTGGAGTTTTCCATAGCCTCCGAGACTCACAAGGCCATCCAGGCCCTCAATGGGCGCTGGTTTGCTGGCCGCAAGGTGGTGGCTGAAGTGTATGACCAGGAGCGTTTTGATAACAGTGACCTATCTGCGTGACCTTGGCCCTATTCCCTGGACTTGCACTTGCTCCTTGTTTCCTCGGGGTTTTATAGTGATTTGTTGGTGTCTCAGGCCTAGCCACCCAGCGTGGGGATAAAGGTGCAGATGCTGTTGGCCCTGAAAGTCCCTGTGTGGCAGTGGTCCTGTGCTTATTGGCTCCTGGAGGTCGCCCTGGGGGAAGGGATGGGCAGAGGGGACCTTGAAGGCCTGCAGGAAAACTGCAGGAGAGGAAGGCGTGTGCCGCGCCGCGCTGTGCTTGGCTACACCCTGCCCTGAGCAGCCTTGTGCGGAGGTGGGGGCTGTCCTGCTGCGCAGTCCCATCGCCTGTGCGGGGTTAGTACCGAAAGACTGGTACTGAGCACCTCAAGCCCCAGGACGAAGTCGCCCCGGAAATCGAGCGCTGGCTCCACCTGTCGCCCTGCCCCCGAGGGAGCCCAGGTCCCGGTGGGAGGGGCAGCTGGCTGAGCACTTGCTGGCTGAGCTGGTGCTCTCGCGGGACCCGCCCTGGGGAAGAGCCGAGGCGGAACCTCCGCAAGCCTCTGGCCAGGGCTCTGGAGCTCGATCCGTACGCGGACTTCAAGTCCCATCGTGCTTTGCGCCCGGGGACCTGAGCTGAGCTTCCCGACAGGCCGTGCGCGGGGCCGCTACGGGTTCTCGGAGGCGCCGGCACCGCGGGGCCTTGTGGGGGTTGCAGTTCCCTGCGGCGATGGGCGGTGAGGGCGGGCCTCGGCTTCCCGGCGGGCTACGCGGCGGCCGGCGGTTGTCGGCGGGGCAGTCCGGCGGGCAGCGGCGGCCGTTCCGGCTGCGGCACAGCGGCGGACGAGCGGGCTGGGCGGGATGCGGGGCCGCCGCCGCCGTCTCCTGAGAGTCTGAGCGCTGGCCGGGCCGCGCGCCGCCCCCACCCCGTCCCCCTCCCAGCTCGGGCCGCTTCGGGCCGAGCGTTCCGAGCGCGGCCCGGGCCCAGCGCCGCCGCCGCCCCGCCCCTCCCCCGCCCGCCCGGCCGGCCGGCCCGGCGCTCATGCGGACCGAGCCCCGCCCCCCGGCCGAGCCCGCCGCCCGAGCCCGCGCCTGAGCCCGCGCCGCGCGCCCGCCCGCCCGCACCATGCTCAAGTGCATCCCGCTGTGGCGCTGCAACCGGCACGTGGAGTCGGTGGACAAGCGGCACTGCTCGCTGCAGGCCGTGCCCGAGGAGATCTACCGGTACAGCCGCAGCCTGGAGGAGCTGCTCCTCGACGCCAACCAGCTGCGTGAGCTGCCCAAGGTGAGCGGCCGCCCGGCACCTGCCGCCCGGCCCTGGGCACCGGTCGGGGGGGTCGGCCCCGCCGCGGCTCCCGCTGCCCGCCGAGCGCCCGGCAGCAGGCGCGGGCCCCGGGCGGGGCACGGCAGCCTCCGGCTGGCCCTGCCGGTTCTTACTGGCCAGCCCCGCCCTCCTCTCCCGCTTCGGGGGCCGGCGCCAGGTGGCAGTGCTCCTCAGGTGCCTGCCCAGGGGTGGTGAGGACGCCCGGCCTGGGAGCCCAGCCCAGCGCGAGCGTGGGGGCGGGGGCGGGGATGGAGCGAATCCAGGTGGGGAGGCGAGCTTGGTCTGGCAGGTGAAGGCTGTTGCCGCTGCCCGGGAGGTGAGGAGCCTGGCGGCCTCCCCCTGCTCTCCTCCGGGGGGCTGAGGGGTGCGACGGAGGAGCGCTCCTCGAGGCCCTTGTCCCTGACAGGCCTGCCGCTTGCCCTCTCCTTGCCGTTGTGCCTCCCCGTCAGCTTGCTTTCCTTCTGAGGCCGCTCTGGAGGAGAGGTTACTATAGGAAACAGGTCATAAAAGGATTTCCTTTTTGGAGACCGGTCGCTAAGTGGCCCAGTGCCTGGGGGCCACAGAGGGTGTGGTGACAGTGTTCTGGGCTTGGATGGGAGGAGTCCGTCCCTCAACATCGCCAGGAGTCTTCGTGCTGCCCTCCCTCTTCCCCCCAACACGAAGCTGTTTGTACCTGTAGTACTTCGCCGTCTCTGTCGTTTTCTTTCACGACTGGCAGATCGTCGTCGCGGGTTTGGGCCGGGTTGGTTGGGTGCAGCAGCAGAGCCGGCGTGGGCCCTGGAGGCCTCGCCGCCTGGGCGGGTGGCATGTGGGGTCCTGAGGGGAGCACACAGGGCAAGGGACGGAGAAGCACCCGCTAGACGCGAGGGTGCTTATTGGCCAAGGTTTGGAGCGCTTTGGAAGGGTGGTAGCAGGGCCGTGTCTGAGCTGACGGGAGGCCGCCGGGCACCGAGAGGAAATTAGAAACCTAGCGAGATGCCGGTACGCGCCTTTCTGTCCTTTCCTGCTGCAGACTGAGGCGATGCGGCAGGACCTGGGTTCCCGCGTGGCCTGAGGCAGGCGGGGGCCCATGGGGTCCATGACCCGCAAATTTGCGCCTGCCCTTGGAGGGGCCCTGTGCTAGAGTCCACACGCCCCTGACCCCACTCCCTGCCCACAGCCCTTCTTCCGGCTGCTGAACCTGCGGAAGCTGGGCCTGAGTGACAACGAGATTCAGCGGCTGCCCCCTGAGGTGGCCAACTTCATGCAGCTGGTGGAGCTGGATGTGTCCCGGAACGGTGCGGGGTCGGGGCAGCTCGGGGGCGGAGCCTAGGGGTGGCAGGAAGGGCTCGGAGGCCTCAGGGGCCCTGATGTCTCTCCGTGGTGATCCCTCTCCTACGGCAGACATCCCGGAGATCCCCGAGAGCATCAAGTTTTGCAAGGCCCTGGAGATTGCAGACTTCAGCGGGAATCCCTTGTCTAGGTGGGTGGGGGCCGTGGCGGGGGTGGGGGCAGTTGCGGGAGGCTACGCAGCCCCGTTCTGGACACCTGAGGTCCCCTTCCTCTGGCGCAGGCTCCCGGAAGGCTTCACTCAGCTGCGCAGCCTGGCTCACCTGGCCCTGAATGACGTGTCTCTGCAGGCGCTGCCTGGGGACGTCGGCAAGTGAGTGCCCTCCAGGGCGGGGGGACTCAACTCAGCCCCCCCCATCTCTCCACCTTCTTTGCTTTGGTCATGCCCCACCCCCCTCTCTCTTTCAGCCTCGCCAACCTGGTGACCCTGGAGCTCCGGGAGAACCTGCTCAAGTCTTTGCCGGCGTGAGTGGGCGCGGGTCTCCCTCCGGCGCCTACTTGGGCCACGGCCCCAGGGGCTCAGGCCAGGCAGCCACGGCCAGATCTGCTCTTTGTTCCGCAGGTCTCTGTCCTTCCTGGTCAAGCTGGAGCAGCTGGATCTGGGAGGCAACGAGCTGGAAGTGCTGGTGCGGAGAAGGCGGGGTCTCCCGGGCGAGGCGGGGCAGGGGACCTCGGGCTGTCACTCGACCCCGTCAACCTGTCCCCATCTGTTCCCACAGCCTGATACCCTGGGGGCTCTGCCCAACCTCCGTGAGCTGTGGCTGGACCGGAACCAGTTGTCCGCGCTGCCCCCGGTGAGTGAGGGTGCGGTGCCCCCTGCCCCGTGCTCGGCCGTTCCCTGACCTCCCTCCCCCCACGCCCGCCTCCAGGAGCTTGGGAACCTGCGGCGCCTGGTGTGCCTGGACGTGTCGGAGAACCGTCTGGAGGAGCTGCCATCAGAGCTCGGTGGGCTGCTGCTGCTCACGGACTTGCTGCTCTCCCAGAACCTGCTGCAGCGGCTCCCCGACGGCATCGGTCAGCGGCGGCTGCGGCGCTGGGGACCGGGGGCGGGAGGGGGTGTGACCCGGGGCCTGAAGGAGGGTCCTGCGGGCTGGTCTCCAAGAGACACCACCGAGAAGGGGAATTAGACCAGGGGTGGGGGTGACAAGTGGGTAAGGGGGCCTGGCAGTTCGGCTCTGGAGCAGAGAGCTCAAAGGGCCGCGGGGGGAAGAGTAGTGGGGGGGGCCCCCCAAGCTGTCCACCGCCCCGGCTGCCAAGCCCTTGCCCCACTCAGCTCTGTCACTGCGTCTCCCCTACACCAGGTCAGCTGAAACAGCTGTCCATCCTGAAGGTGGACCAGAACCGACTGTGTGAGGTGACGGAGGCCATCGGAGACTGTGAGAACCTCTCCGAGCTGATCCTCACGGAGAACCTGCTGACGGTAGGGCGCAGCCCGGTGGGACTGGAGACGTTGAGGCGGGGGGTCGAGGAGCGCTCTGCGGCGGGCCCTGGGCGTCTGCTTGGATGGGAGGCTGTGGCCGGAAGCAGTTGCGGGGAGAGGGGGACAGGGTGGCGCCAGGCCAAACGCCGTGGAGGAGTTCTCCGCTACTTCCAGACTGGCTCAGGTTCCCACCAACCTGTGACCCTCCCTTGGCCCCGACCAGGCTCTGCCCCGCTCCCTGGGTAAGCTGACCAAGCTGACCAACCTCAACGCAGACCGCAACCGTCTGGAGGTGCTGCCGCCCGAGATCGGAGGCTGCGTGGCGCTCAGCGTCCTCTCCCTGAGGGACAACCGCCTGGCTGCCCTGCCGCCCGAGCTCGCCCACACGGCCGAGCTGCACGTGCTGGACGTGGCTGGGAACCGGTGAGCGCCTGCCCAGCCGCCTGCCCCCGCTGAGCCAGCCGTGCCCTCCTGCCCCCGCTGACCCTCCCGTGCCAACCCACGCCCCCCCCCCCGGCCCCCAGGCTGCGGAGTCTGCCGTTCGCGCTCACCCACCTCAACCTCAAGGCCCTGTGGCTGGCTGAGAACCAGGCACAGCCTATGCTCCGGTTCCAGACGGAAGACGACGCCCAGACCGGCGAGAAGGTTCTCACCTGCTACCTGCTGCCGCAGCAGCCCCCACCCAGCCTCGGTAGGTGGCCGGCCACGGGCGGCTGTGTCTGCGGAGCCGGTATGGCCCGGGCCGGTCTCCCCCTTGACGTTCCCGTCCCTCAGAGGAGCCAGGGCAGCGGAGCAGCCCTTCGGAGAGCTGGAGCGACGCCCCGCTCGGCCGCGTCAGCGCCATACAGTTTCTGGACGTCCCTGTTTGTGGTGACGACGCCGAGGAAGCTGCGGCCGAGAAGCGGGTACAGTGGGGGTGCTCCCGGCAGGTGGGGGGGCACGTCCTGCCCTCCTGCCCCACCCCTCACCCCCGTGCACCCCGCAGGGCCTGCAGCGTCGGGCCACGCCTCACCCCAGCGAGCTGAAGGTGATGAAGAGGGGTGTCGAGGAGCGGCGGGGCGAAGCCTTCTCCTGCAG